TTTTTTTTTTTTTTTTTTGTGTCTGAACGCTCAATCTCAGCTCTCGGTGGAACGATTTTGATGAACAATGCGTCAAAAGATTCCAAATCGTATCTAGTCGAAGATATTACCCTCAAAAATTCCCTCGTTAAACGGGGGAAATCCCCCAAAAAATTACAAATTTGAAAATCGACATTTTTTCAATTTTCATAACTTTTAAAAATGACCAAATCAATATAATTTTTTTTTATAGATACCTTAGGTATTTACCTATCATTTTATATATTTTTGTGACAATTTGACCCTTTACAAGCCCACAGGAAGGGTTTCAAAATGGTAACTTTTAAAAAAGTTCCGGAAAGACTGACACTTTTATATATACCTTAAATTAAAGCTTATGTAATATACTTAAGTTTGAAAAAAAAATTTGACTTCTGGACTTGTCTTCATGGTGAAAATGACTACCGTATGCAAAAATATGCTATTTTTGTGAAAAAATTCTTGATATTATATTTTACATTTTTTAACATTATGTTGCTATAACTTTTTAAAAAATGCATGAATCAACTTTATTCTTTAATGATAAATACTTTATATATACTTCTTTCNTATGAATCAATTCTATTCTTTAATGATAAATACTTTATATATACTTCTTTCTTTCGATATACTTTTTTTTTAAATCGGACAATTTCCCTTTATACAAAGGAAGGTTAAAACTTTAAACATGCGTATTGAAACTAGGACATTTTCCATTTAATTTTTAAAAGTATTCCGGAAATACTAACATTTTTTTACCTAACAGAACAATTCTAGGGGTGTCCCGAATGAATTTCGACAAAAAAAAATTGACCTATATAACTAAGAACCACCCTAGTATTCATATATTATAATTATAAATCGGGATAAAATTCAGAGAATAAGTGTTATTGTTGTTTTTAAATATTCTACCAATTTCTTAAAATTAAACTAAAACTTAAAATAAAAGGAAATAGGAGTTGATATTGCTTTTGGAATAATTCAATAACTTATTCTAAAAATTAAACACTATTTACAGATTGCATCGAAGCGTTTTTTATGATAGTGATTTTAATCACTGTCAGATATCATTTATAGTTGTCCCAATTATGCCACGTGCATACTGTGCCGAGGCCCCACTGTGCTACTGTTTTTTTCAATTATATTTATACGATAATTCTTGTTAAAATTATAGGAGTTAAGTATTTAAATGCTGTAGTCAGGGGTGCTAATGATGTGATAATCTCCTCCTAATTTCATGCCACGAAATAATTATTTACGACAAATTGTACTCGTAGATGGATTTTGAGCAGTCATCAAAAATAATTTTTATTGTAGAACAAAAAAAATTTTTTAGCTCCCCTTCTCCAAAAAATTGACCAATGTACTATGGAAATAGAAAATATAAAACACCAGGGCCGCCTTTAAGGAAGGGCACACCGGCCCCGGGCCCAGGGCCTCCTGCAAAAAGGGGGCCTCTTCGTAGACAATCGTTAAGTTTTTTTTTATATATATTTTTTAAAAAGAATACATGAACAAAATGAAATCAATTTATTTTAAACATAAAACTTTATATTAAACATAATACACACACATATATATATATATATTCCTTCTAAAATTTATTATATACTTCGATTAAACAGTTTTTTACGACATTTTTTAGTCGAAAAGTCGTTAATCAAACCATTTAAATCTATTTTATTTAATAAATTAGATTCGATGCACATGATACCTACTATAACTATGTTTAAACTATAGTTTAACTATTTATCTACCTTTAAGATTATCCAAAATTTTACGTTACAAACTTCAGCAAGTCATCCATAGTAGAAATAATCGATTGGGATATATTGTTTTCAAATAGGTGTCTCATCGTGTTATTCAGTACACGAAAAGCAAAAAACCAGACAGGTCATCTACGCTTAAAATTTTGATTGCCTCAATATTTTCTTTGAACACATTCAAAAATAGTTACAAAGATGAAAGTGATTCACTATTTATAGGCCGAAAGGCAAAGATTTTATCCAAGTGTGTCGTTGCTAACACTTGTTTGTTTTCATACCTATCAGTAAGCACGTTCCACGCTATATCATAATTGGCTTCCGTAATTGGTATAAATTTTATGACAGCGAGCGCGGAGCCGGACAAACACGAAAGAAAGAAATGGAATCGCCTAATTTTGTTGGAATCGACGTTCACAATAGATTCAAATGCATCACGAAAGTAGTCCAGTCTGGTAATACTACCTAATCAAATTTCAAGTTCATATTCGCATACTTGTTGTCGTATAACGCATAGTAAAATTCATTTTACTAGGGTATAACGTATGAGAATGGCTAGGCGCCGCAACAACGGGTTGCGGGGTGTTCACATTTTGAACTAGTAATGCAGCAGCACTAATATCATAAAACATGTTTTCTATTTCAACGGTCACCGACGAAGCGATAATATCGAACTGTTCGACGCTATAGAGTTCTATTAACGCGCTTACTCGATGTTCGCGAAACTGTTTTTCAAAAAATACTTAATTGACGAACGCGTACTTCAAGCTGTTCTTTAAGGTTAATGTCTGACTTAACCTTAATGGCGAATTTATGAATTTCAGTAATCGACTTAAGGGAACTATCCCATAAAGTATGTACTCCAATGAGAGTCTTTTCTTCCAGATTTACTTTTAAATGCCTCTAATACATTATATTCTAATGATTAAGACAAATAAATATCCATGCTCGAAGGACCAATGAATGAACGCAGCGCCCGGTAGTATTCACGTGAGTTCCATTAACGATCGTTGTTTTATTTTGTCTTAAGTCTGACTATGTCGAGTAAAAGGAATAGGGTGTGTGGACTGTATGAATAAATATAGAATGAATTTACAATATATAATTATTAAATGTATAATACTTGAATCATAAAATCTTATATACACCAATGTGGATAGGTAGGGCACTTAATAATAATGCCTCAATGGCGATGATATGAACAAATAATAAATTACAAATTTGGGGAAGTCTTAAAAAGAAGATGAACAAACATTATATTTATCGGCTAGTAGAAACGGTGGATGATAATGTTGTATATTGAAAGGAACAATTTAAATCAAATCCAAGTAGTTGACCAACGTGTACAATATGTTGTGAACAGTATTTTGATGTATCTCAGAAAATATATAAATCCAATGGCGATATACTGAGCGCACAATGGTTCGACGATCGCAAAGCAGATATTTTACTTTTACAACAAAACGAATACAAAAACTACTGGCTCGCAAGCGTCATTGAGCTTATAGTTGAAAATACGCTAAGATGGCGGCGACAACGCAGACATAGAGAGAAGACTGACATCAACCGGTGTAGCATAACAATATTATTAATAATCATAACACAATTTCTCGATGTGTATCCAACAATAACATTACAAAATTCTAGCGTTAAGAAACTAATTTAATAAATTTATTTTTATTTTAAGTTTTGTTATTATCTATTAATCCTTCCTTAAAACAATTTCACACTAAAAGCTACTTTATTTAAATGCTTTACTAATGCTATTAAATAGTATGTAAATTTGATTGTTGTAAAATTTTTAATAAACCTTGTTACTTAATATTTATTAGTTGATGATATTAAAAAAAGATAATGAATTGTATACACCTCTAAAAGAAATACTGGTGAAATCTATAAAGTATGTGAACAAACAGTTTGAGTTAAATCAATATAATCAGAAAAATGTCTAGTACATTAGACTCGTGTGTTTGACTATAGCAATGTATTGGTTTTTTCTCGTGTAGTAAGAGAGTTAAAAAATTGTCGAATTCTACGAATTAAGAATATTCAGCTGTATTAAATAATGATTTATCCGAGTGCATTATAAGTACTATTGTATTTCTATTATTCATAAAAAAAAGTAACAATAATATCCAGTACTGGACGTGAAAAGTGAACATAACATTTAGAGTAATCTGGGCTAAAAATAGCTTTTATTTTTTATTGCATATAACTTGAAGTATAATGTATTTATAAACATTTAAATTTTTTTATTATCTAGATAAACTAACAAAAAATACAAATTTAAATATAAATATCGAAAATCTTTAATCGATATATCGAAACAGTATATCGATATATCGTTGCCATCCCTACAGCTACGTGATAACATTAATTTTTGTAAGAATCTGAATGCATTTGTAAATTGAATAAATTCAAACAAAGTGTGCTTTTGTTATCCATTTTTTATACAAGTTAAAATGGCTAGAAGAATTGCTCAGTCGTCTGTTAAATGGATTGCTATTAGTGAACGTGTTCCTGAAGCTAAAAAACCTGCTTATTTCGCTTTTAAAACTAAATCTGATGGGTACCTCCGAAAGTATGTAAAGATCATTCAAAGATCATTTTTGATCGAATTAGATGTTTATCGCTAAATATCTTTTAAATTAAAATTTTATAGATTAATATAATATGATAAATGATTAAAAAAAAATGATATAAATTTATATTACTAATATATATTTTAAATATTGAATGAAATAATTTACAGAATGTTTGCATTATCCCCAGAAACACCTAAAATTGATTGGGACAAATACAAGAATGCTATTCCTATCGCTGGTTTAGTTGAAAATTTTGAAAAGCAATACAATGCCGTTAAAATTCCATATCCTGAAGATAAATATACAGCATTTATTGATAGCTCTGAAAAAAAAACTGTACATATTCTCTTTATTTATTCATACATATTTTTATTACTCTTTAGAAAATTGTCTTTAAAAATATTGCATTCAGATTTAAATGTTGTAATGTGAATAAAGTAAAGTGCTGTATGAACTTGGAAAAATAATCAAATTTTACTTTTTAATTAAGCCTTATTTTCGATGAATGTATCATTATTACCATACTCCACATAAATGTTAGGATTGATTTTTTTTATTGTTGAATTCTTAATGTCTTACTGCCAAAAACTAGGAATAGAAAAATTAGGAAATATTGCTCTATATCTCCTATATGTTTGAAAATTCCAAAGTAAGATTAATTTTCTATTATTACTCAGCAAATCGATAAAGAAAAATGCACTAGATCATTTTGTACCAGCTAATTAAGAGAAATATAAAAATACCTTAAAAAGAATTGTTTTTTTTTTTTTAATTGTCGTATAAAAGTAAAAATAATAAAATTTAAAGGTTTTATTTTTGTGCTTTTAAATTTTACTATTTATTCATATAATGTCATTGTCTAACTATTCTCTTATGAAAATTACAGATGCAAGAAATAGAAGAATTTAAAAAGGTAGCTGCCTCTAATATTAAAGAAGCAGAATTAAGGATCGAGGAAATTAAGAATTTGTTGCCATATTCCCAAATGACTTATGAAGATGCTGCTTATATTGAGCCTGATTTGACATTAGATCTTGAAAACAAGCCATCATTCTGGCCTCATCAAGAAATTGATTATGTATTTGACGAGCCGCAAGAAGAAGGGTCAGGAAAACAAAAAAAAAGTTGAAGCTGCCCATTAAGTTTTTCATTTTGTTAGTTACATTATAATTTTACTGAATTTTCAAAAAATATATTGGAATAAATATTTATATAAAAGGAAAATATANATAATTTTACCCAATTTTCAAAAATAATTTTGTAATAAATATTTATATAAAAGGAAAATATATTGTATTATTATTATAAATTGTTTAATTTCATAAAAATTTTAGTCAATTTTACTAAGATTTGATTACAGATAAAAAATTTAGTGTTGTATTCATAACTGTTCGAGATTATATAATCTTTTGAGTGCAAAATTACGAGATTCACCGAGCACGTGGTTAAGCCTTGCGCTCATGTCAGCGGTATTTTTATTAGAATCGTGATAATCTCATCTTTGAACGGTAGCGCCACACAAAAACAACCGATACACCACGTGTGGTAGTATGTGTAAACCAGTGATCACAGAATTCATCCTCTGTTGTAGGAAGTAGCGGTGCTGACACGGTTCTTCTATTGTCCAGAATTGACGCAACAAACTGTCAACAGGTGGGCTAAGAGCCACGGCAAGTGACGTTAGTGGCTATGGTGGGGTGTCAGTGAGCGAGACTGTACTTACTGATATCCATCCTAGATAGGTGTCAAGCCCGGAGGGTAAACCTTTCATGTATATGATCTCCGCCTTTGGACGTACAGTATGTGAAAAGACATCTCCGCCCAACAACATATCAGTCGTACCGAGCGTTTTGAAGTGGAGATCGGCGAACAACAAGTCATGATATTGCTCACGTACTTTCGGTGGTAAAGTCGTTAAACAAATGGATGTATTTATACATTCGTTAATGTGCATTATTTCTTAGTAATCTTTCACAAATTTTATACTGATATGAAATATGAACTTGTACTTTGTGAACTCTTATATCTGGCTTCATTATGCATTATAAAGTTACACTGAAAGTTATAATTGTTTATTATTGTGTTGTAATCAGTATACTTTAATTTTTAAACTTTACAACACTTTGTGTATTTTGTAAAATACGAGTTACTTATAGTGCATAGTCACTAATATTTTAGTAGGTTTTACATAGAGTGTTTACTCCGGAGATTGAAGATCCTCATTTCCTCATATTAAATCTAAGTATCCATTAAATTTTCCATCAAATTTATTAGATAGAAAGACTCATGTAATAGAAGAGACGATTTATGACCCAAATATTGCTCCATCAACTTCTACTTCTGTATGTTAAATCTATACATCACAATTCACATGATTCAGAATTTATGGATAAGACGTTCTAAACTAAATTCAATTCTCAGTAGTCCACACTGAGTCATTGAGACACAGTACTATGGCATACTGATTCAGCTCGTTCAGTTCACCTAAAAGAGTCAACTCTTTGAGTTGACTCACTCACTCACTACCCATCCCTAAAAGGTATTACATTACAATGTTTTTTTTTATGTATGTCGCTACTTTTTCTTAACTTTCACCAAATCGATTTTTTTCAACGTTACGTCAAAAGATCAAAAATCGTAAATAATTGAATAAATTACTCTTAAAAAGTGAAAAAAAATGCTCTCCTTCTCTGTAAATAATGAAAATCCCCTATAAAATTACTTTTTTTCATATAGGTTAATTTTGACAACTTTATTATTTTTTTATTTTTTATAAACTGTCATAACTTTATAAAAAATGTATTTGTGAATTAATGGCATTTGATGTCATTAATTCACGTAGGTATATAAGTTTACACAACAAAAATAGATACTTTCAAATTAATTCTGTGTTTGGTAAAGTTACTGACTTCATCATATATTGTATTTGTATTTTACTTCTGTATATATTTGAATTTTTATTTCAAAGTTTCTACATTATGACAATTTCATGATTACAATACCGATGAAATAATTCCTCAGAAATACTTTAACATTTTATCATTTGTGTTTATCTATATTCTTTGACTATAAATAATGACTAATATTGTTATCTATTATCATAAAAGAAGGAGAAATTTATCTTTTAGTCGAGTCGTTTAAATAAAATTGCCTGCCGAATCGTTAAGAAGCTATATTACAAATTATCTACCCTTATATTTTACAATTTTTGTTATTTCTCATTAGCAACCCTATTTTGTAAAGAATCAAAATGTCAACTGCCTTAGGAACTGAAGATTTTCCTACTTTATCATTAGTTCCTAAAAAAGAAACTGGAGTCACTAATTTTTTAATTAAAAATCCAATTTATGATGGTCGCAACGTAACAATAGCTATATTTGATTCCGGTGTTGATCCTGGAGCTCCTGGACTAAAAGTATGAGTTTTGTAAATAATAAACATGTAATAATTTCTTCAATTACATTTTTTTTTTCATAGGTGACTAGTGAAGGAAAGCCTAAAGTTATTGCTAGGTATGATTGTAGTGGTGCCGGAGATGTTGACACTTCAACTATTGTTAAAGCTGAGAATAATGAAATTAAAGGACTTAGTGGTCGAACACTAAAGGTAAATATTTTATGATCTAAATTTTGTGTTAAGTGTGAAAATTATAAAAAGAAAGTTATATTATAAACATTATTAAACTTTCATGAAATTTAAAATGATCATTACTTTGATTAAAAAAAATTAGTTTATTAATTATAAGAGCTCAAGACTTAATGTGTTTATAAAATTTTATTGAGTCATTTCATTGAATAAGTTAGAGATATCCAGCTCTGTGAAAACTTATCATAATTGTATATAGTATCATAAGAATATTTTCTATTCTGAGAAAAAGTGATCCCCTAAGTCCTTTAAAACTAAATTTCTAATAAAATACACTGTTTAGTGTTAAGAATAATTAACAGAAATATCTATCTTTGGTTTACTCAGAATGATTAAAATAAACGTAATAAATCCATTAAATTCTGAACCTTGTTAATTATGAATTGAACCTTTATTTACCTAGAATAATACTATTTTTCTGTTAATTCACAAAATAACATAACATAATTATAAAATAATAACCCCTTCAAAAAATTCTATTTATGTGAATGATTTATAAGGTAATTTGTTTATCATTGACCACTACATTTCTTTTAAAATTATAATTTTGAAAAAATGGTTAAATTTTTTTATGTTTATATTTTATTATAATATATCTCATTTTTAATTTTTTTTTAAATTTCAATTTGAAATTTTAAAGCTTTTAAATTAATACAGAAAATATGTTGAGTTTTATTTTTTCACTTAAATAAATATTTTTTAAAAAACAGATTCCAAACAGTTGGATAAACCCCAGTGGTGAATATCATATTGGTATAAAAAATGCTTATGAGTTATACACAAAAAATGTACAGCAACGTATTGAAGAAGAAAAGAAAGAAAAATCATGGGATATTTATCATAAACCATTATTATCAAAATCAATTTCTGATCAAAATAAATTTAATAATGTAAGTATAAAGTATAATATACAAATTAATTACTATTTTAACAGTAAAACGATTTTTTTTTGTATATTATTGGTTCAGTTCTGTTCAACTAAAAAAAAGTGATGTAAGCAATTTTTGAATTGTATTAACTTTAAATTTATTCGCATAAATCAAATTAAAATTTATATTTGTAAACTATAATTTAACTACGGTTAAAAATAAAAATCAGTTTTACATCCTTCTATTACTTGAACTTAACATGATACTGAAGGTAGTAGCCCTCTTTTTTTCATGTAAGAAAGTCCAAAATGATTCTTGGCTAAGCCAATGATAGAACAGAATGTATATTATGAACGGCTTGCACCAGAGACCAAACACCACCAATGATAAAATCAAAATAAATACCTCATTGGTACCCTATTGATTGAATCTAGGACCACCCAGTATGTCAAAATATATGTGTCTACTCACTAGACCAGTATGACCCCTTTATAATTTAACTGCAGATAATACAGTTTTTAAAGAATATAGAAACTAAACCAAATTTTTATTTCCTTACTAATAGAACTACTATAATATTAAAATTAATAGTTTGGTAGGGCAGTATTCCAAGAGGGAGATAAGAGTAAACGCTTCCCCTAAACTAGCTCCATCAATAGTTTACAAAACTCATTATTTATTTGTAAACTATGTCTCTAAAAACTTTGTTTGGATCTCCACTTTGTTTTTGGGAATTTTTTAGGCAAAAAAATTTCTTTAGCAATCCTATTATAAAAAAATAATTTAGTCATTTTTCTAAAAATTGTAGATCAGTATACTATTAAAATATAGCTAAAATCTTGTACACTGATTTGTTTATTAAGTTCTCTGTTTGTTACTGTCTGCCATGTGGGTACCAAAGCTACTATTAATCAATAGCTAAATCATATAAAACTAAATTTTTTCTTCAGCAAAAATTATTTATTTATTTTTTTTGTTAAGGAAAATGATGGTTCTAAAATTCCATTAACTAGAAGCCAAAAACTTATAAAAGAAGATTTAGATAATACTGTTGAAGCTTTACAAAATTTAGAAAAAAAGTATAAAAGTATTACTCCGGTTTATGATTGTGTTGTTTTTCACAATGGAAAACAATGGCTGTAAGTTGTTACAAAATAATTACTATATTATAAACATAATTCTTAACAATCATATTGGTTAATTAATTAGTTTATTTTGTTTATTTAAAAAATAATTCATCAAATGATAAATTTAATTTAGTGTATGTTTGGATACATCAGAAATAGGAGACCTGGAATCATGTAAAGTTATGGGAGAGTTCAGTGAAGATCCAAAAAATAATTATGATTATATTACCACCTCTGATTTTGTATGTTATTCATTTAATGTATATAATGATGGAAATGTATTAGAAATAGTATCCCTTGGCTGTGAGTTTGCAGAGTTAAATTATAATTTTTTTAAATATTATAGATTGTTAATAATTTTAGCATCGCATGGGACACACGTTTCTGCTATTGCTGCTGGATGTTTCCCAGATGAACCTGAAAAAAATGGTGTGGCTCCTGGAGCACAAATTATTTCATTAACTATAGGTGATAGTCGCCTAGAAACTATGGAAACTGGAACTGCAATTGTTAGAGCTATGATAAAAGTAATGGAGCTTAAAAAAAAATACAACATAGATGTAATCAATATGAGTTATGGGGAACATTCAAATTGGTCTAATGCAGGGTATGTCATTAACAACTATTATTAGTATAAATATGGATTTTGTATTCTCTACATTTTTTTTTACATATTTTTCAAGATGTTTTATATGGTTCGATGTAACAAATATTTATTTAATTATTAAACTTGAAGATATATTTTAAACCTTTAGAAGTCCTAATTAGTGTGTAATAATTATTTATTTTATTTATAAGCATTTCCATTTATTGTTGTGAATATCTAATTTATCTTGGTTATCTAACCCCCAGAAAAAAACAGCAACTTTAATTTTCCAAAAAATTTTAAAAATATAATAAGTTAAAATAACTCAAATTTATTTCTAAAATTATTAAAAAAAATTTAAAGTGAATAATTCTTAATTTTTTTCTTTTATAAAATATTGTAAATGAACCTACCATTTTTTTTCATTATTAATAATAAATACAATATATAATAGGGCTTGTTAACAATAACGATTATTTTTGAAATGTCACAATAATCAAACTAAATTTTTAATAAAAAAAACTGTTATAATTTTGGTCACTTTGTTATAGAATATATATTATTTGATATTAGGCTAAAAATGTTGGTGATAATCTTTTTAATATTTTTTGTATTAAAATATATTAGGAAATATAGAATTGAGATAGAGGAAAAATTATATTTATTAATACAAAATTTTAATTGAGATTAGGTTTTTTATTATGACATTTTTGTTATTTCTATTTTTTACAAAACACGAACAAAGTAATGTATGAGGAGAATTAGAGAATGTAAAGCAACAACTAGTTAAAACTCAATCTGAAAAATAAACTGAAATTATTAAGCCAAAAAAATAAATTCCTATTAGATGGTAGTGATAAAGGTAATGATGTTTTATTCTGTAAAAGTTTAAATTTTATTTTTGAAAAGAAGAAAAATTGTTTTTACTTGTGAAAAAGCAATTAAAAAAATACAAAGAGTACTTATGTTTTTTTTTATTATTATTTAAAACCAAAACATTAAAACTATAATACTATTATTCAAAAAAGAACAATTTCATTCATTTAATAATATAACATTATAATATAATATTATAATAATGATATAAATAATATATAATGATAAAATCTTGAAACCAAAAAAAATTATTTCTTCATAATAAAAAGTAATTAAAAAATATTCGATAATTTTTATGAAATATAGCTACTATCTATATATTTTTATATTAATATATTCTGATTTGGTTGGTATACCATAGTCTGATTTTTACAACAATGGTAACATAACGGTATTCTTGAAAAAGAAATAAAGGGTAAAAACATTTAAATATTAAAAAAACATTTTTTTTTCGTACAATATCTGGATATTGAGAAAATTTTAATTTTGTGATATATTGCCTAAATTCAGTAAATTATCGATATCCAAAAATATATTGTTGACAAACTCTATTATATAATATATTTATAAAGAATTTATTTTATTATTATAATTTGTATTTTTTTTTTTTTTACTTAGGCGAATTGGTGATTTAATGAATGATATAGTGGATAAATATGCTGTAACTTGGGTTGCTTCAGCTGGTAATCATGGACCAGCTTTATGTACCATAGGAGCTCCACCAGATATTTCTAAGACAATGATTATAGGTTAAATTATTGTATAAAATATTTTTTATAAATAATACTGATAAAAAAGGTATTTTTTAAATATATTCATATATTTTCATGAAGTAGCTTAAATTATGCCGCTGTTGATGACACTGACATGTTTTTTTATAATATATCAAAAATTAAATGTATAAGGGTTCTTTAGACTTCTTTCATAATCAATATCATTGAAAATTTTAATGAATTTGATATCACAAAATTCTAGTTATTTATTATATTATGATGGAGTATTAAATTAAATAGTAAAAATAAGTTTTCTTACACTTAAAACAAAGTTATGGTATTCTGCCATAATAAAGATCTATCATATTTTTATTGTTAATTTCTAATTACATGTACTCTAAATAAAAGGGTCCTTTATAATTTTTCTGACCTGTGGATATATTTAGAATATTTTTATACCTCAAAAAATGTTGGTCAAATTTTATATAAACTTTTTTTTTTTACAAAAAAAGATCATTTCTCCTAAAATATATTCCTTAATTTTTGCTGGGATTGGTCTTAGCTATTCATATAAACATAGATATTACAAAAATTTCTTTGATAATGCAACAATTACTACTGAATGATTCTGATTATTAAAAAAATAGTTTAAATACAAGTTTAAAGTTATAAAGGAATTTGAGTTTCATTTAAGTAATAACATTAATTGATCATTAAGTGAAATTATTTTGAGAGATGATAAATTGAAAAACGGGACACATATTCTTCTAGTGTTGAATATTTGATTAATCATAGGTGTTGGAGCGTACGTTTCACCAGATATGATGGCAGCCGATTATTCTTTATTGAATAAATTACCTGGAAATACTTACACGTGGTCTTCAAGAGGTCCAACTATAGATGGTGGTAGAGGTATTAGTGTTTGTGCACCTGGTGGTGCTATTGCTTCTGTGCCTGGTTATATGTTAAGAGGTACCCAGCTAATGAATGGAACAAGTATGTCGGCACCTCATGTTGCTGGAGCAGTAGGTATGTCACAGTAAATATCAACTAGTTTTTATTTTATGTTTTTGAAAATTTTATTAGCTGTTTTAATCTCTGGACTCAAGGATAAAAATATAATAATCTGCCCATATTTTATAAAAAGAGCATTAGAAAACTCAGCACAATATCAAGACAAGATTGATCATTTTTCACAAGGACATGGTTTATTACAGGCAAGATAAAAAAAATAACATAGTTTTAACCTGACATTATCTTAATAAATTAAACTTAAGGTCGAAAATTATTTTAACAAATATTAACTCAAATAAAATTAATTTTTAATTAGTTTTTACAAAATTTTATTTACATGCTGCAAAAGACAACCTAAAATTATACATTAGATTTTAAATAATATTCTTATTTTAGGTTGAAAAATCATTTGAATATTTATGTCAGAATTACAGTGAAACAGAATCTTATTTAAAATTTATAATATCTTGTGGAGCTGATGGCAAAAAAGGAATCCATATAAGAAATGGGATAGAAGATAAAGCTACTGAGCATTCAGTAAGTGTGGAACCAGTATTTATGAACAACAGTGAAGTTGGTAAGAAATTTTTTATACAGATAAATATATTAATAATAACATTTCTTATCATAATTATAAGGAATAATAAAAAACATGATAAGAATTTTGGAAACAATTTTTTTTTTATTTCTTAACCTACTAAATTAAATAATTATCAAAAAATCATTATTAATTCATGGGCTTGGAGGTTGATAACACCCAGATTTTTCATACTTGGATCCTTCGATTTTATCCCACATAGCAATAAGTTTAACTCCATGAAGTTCCTTACCTATAAAATTTAAGAAAATTTTTAATGTTTTTGGACTAAAAATTATTTTTACGTTAATTTAATTATTTACGTTGCTTATTTTGAACTTATAATTTAGGATCAATATTGTAATGAAGTTAATATAATAATATCATTTACCATCAAGGTTTCTTCTTACTAGATTAGCATATTCATGTTGAGAGAATTTTATTCTAGCACATGTATTATTTTTTCTTATTAGTAAAATATGATTTGGATTTACATATTGTACTACTAATTTCCATAAATCATCTTCAGTTGTTAATACATTCATATTTCGAACATGTAATTGTGACATCTACAAAAGAAAATTATTAGTTAAACAATTTAGTTCAAATTTATTTCTGAGTATATCAATATTTACTCTTCTCAGGACAGAGTATCGAAATACTGGTTCACTAGTTGCCCATTGAATCATTATTGAAGTACCATTTATAAAAAGTGGATTTTCTGCCATTGATCGTCGAGCTAAAGCTGCACTTCTATGATCTTTGAAGATAATAAAGCAAAATTCTCTGTTTTTTGATGGATCTTCTACATCATTAAACACTCTAACTTTCTTAACACCTTCTACTCGATTTTCAAACTCCATTTGCAATTGTTCTTCTGTTAAGTCATGAGGTATACATCTAGCAAAAAGTGTTCTATTATCAGTAGACATATTGACTGATAACTGACTTCTGATGCCAGGTAAAGAAATATCCTTAAGCTTAATGAGCGCCATTTCAGCTTGAATAGGATTTTTCATCATAACATAACCATAACCACGATTTGAACCTGTGAAATGCATCATCAAACGAATTTGATGAATCTCACCAAACTAAAAGGGAAAAACATTTTAATTAATAATTCAGTAATTATATTTATAGCCTAAAAATAATTATTAATTTATATTCCAAAATATTATAGTACTTGTGAAAAAATAGCATATAAAAATCCTTCTAGACATGATTTAGGCAATGCAACATATAATTCACTTCCCCTTTTAGGTTCTTCTTTTGATATCGGTAAAAGAGTTTTTTGACCATTATTTTGAAATACATGTCTTTTATCCATGTTAATTAGACTTTGACCCAATTCTTCTATTTCGGAAATACTTTTAGCTTTTGAAATTGTCAACCTTATAACATCTTCACGAGTTTGCTAAAATTAAAAATAATTATTAAGTTGAAAGAAAGAAGAGTTTATAATAAAATAACTATAAATAATTCTTACTATATAAGAATCATCAATAGGGGATGGAAATTTGAAAACATTGCTTTGATTAAATGATCCTTTAGTTTGAGATAGTGTGGTGTATGGAGATGATATTGATGAATAAGGTGACAATGCACTTGAATAAGACTGTGTAAAAGGTGATGGAGGATACAATGAATCTGGCTAATAATAAAAAGAAAAATTATAAATTTATTATATATATTCTATTATATATTATTTATTATATATATAATTAAAATATAAGATAAAATCTATTAAACAAAACAAATTACACAAGTATTATTAATGATACATTGAAATATATTAAATATAATAGAAATGTTTAATACTAGTAGCATACCGAAAAATAATCACAATAAACAAAATTATCTTGTGTTATATACATATCCATGGTTGTTGGATTAAATTCACAATATTAGCTCTGAAAAATAAAAAATAAATAGTTTTAATAATTATTTCTAGTTAAAACTTTGTGAATGCCAATTAAATTTATGATCATAAAATAAACAGATAAAATTAATTTGATTAATTATTTATTTACTATTAGACTATATTCCATTTCATTTAGTTTAAAGCTGAAAGTTAAACAATAAAATAAGTAGACAAAAACTAAATTTAAGTAGAAATTTTTTCCAAATTAAAATTTGGAAAATTGTATACATTGTTTTTTTTATTAAAATACAAATATTTAATTGCAATCTTCTTTTTCCTTGCCTTTATCTCAACTACATGGGATCGGCCAACCTTGACCTAAACTTTCACTTGATACAAGCATCTAGATATACATCAACTGTCCTCATATCGCATTCAATAACATCCTTCCATCTCTTTATTGGTCTTCCTTCAACTTAAGTATTCTTACAGCTTCCGATTCCTCTCTCTTCATAACATTACCAAACCATCTATTTACCATCAAAGTTTATTTTCTCTCATCTTATTTACGATTGGGGCTATACTTTTACTCCCTCTTATATGCTCATTTCTTATCCTATTTTCTCTAGTCACTCCACTCATCCATCTAAGCATTCTCATCTCTGCTACATTCATTCTCTGCTCTACTTTCTTATTAACTGCCAAACATTCTGAACCATACATCATAACTGGCCTCACCACAGTCTTGTAGAATTTACCTTTTAGCCTCATTGGAATTTTTTTATTTCATAAGACACCAGACGCTTCTATCCACTTCAACCATTTAATCCTGTGTCAATACTAACGCTCTTTTGCACAACTGATCCTAAATACATAAAACTTTCCACCTCTCCAATCACGTCCGCGATTATTGTCACTGATCTCTTCAGTTCACCTACCTCGAGTTCTCCTTTATCAAACTCTTACTCTATATACTCATCTTATTCGTATTCATTCTTAAACCTATTTCTTCAAAAGCTTTACACCTCTCCTTCTATGTTTCTAGTAATTTCATACATCTATCCACCACATTTAATTTGCAATGATGAATTTAAATACTTATTTATTAAATCAATATAAACTTTAATAAAACATAAAAATAGATATTATATGTTAGGTAATTTATATATATATATTTTAATACTCTATTGAAAGAATTTCCTAAAAGAGTAACTGCAAAGACAAAAATGTATTTTTTATTACTATTATTAAACAATAAGATATTATGTAAAGAATAACAATGCAAGTCATTAAAAAAACTTACCTCAAATTTTTAATAAAGCAAGCAAAAATGTAAAATCAACCATGTATTAAAAAAACAAACCATATTTAAATCTATGAAGATATAAAATTAATTTTAACACTCACATAGGATAATGTTATCAGTTGATTGGAGTTAACTAGTTTTTGGTAATTTTTATGTTTAAAATATCAGATTGCTTTTTAAGGTATAAAAAAAATCAGTTTCCTCATAAAATAAAAAAATGTAATAAATTATTAATTAATTTTTATATCAATATGGATAAATTTAGATACTTTGACCACATAACATCTATTGATAATTAAATTTTTCAGATATGTACTTAGAAAATGTGTTGCCCTTGGTAAATAAAAATAAAATGGTCTTCTCTGTCTTCAATTTTTTTGAAAATATATTTGAAAGAAATAAAATCTTATGAGAAATGTATTTTTGCAACTCTTAGAACTAAAGATAATAATTTTTTATAAAATATATACAGTGATAATAATAATATTTTAACATCAGAGGAGCATGCATATGCCTGCCCTTGGGTCACTTACTAAAAAAACTTAAATATCTGTCTAACGAGTTTAATTTTATGTAATAAATGAAACTCAGCCATTATGTATTAATCCAGACCAAATGTGCAGTTTAGCTCACAAAACATTTTTTTCAATTATTTTAGCTTTGATGCGTAGCTGAGAGGTATTAATTTATTATTGTTTTTTTTTATATTTATCGCCACTCTTTTTCAACTCTCACGAAGAACCGATTTCTTTCAATGATACATAAAAAAATCACAAATCTTATCAAGTTGAAGACATTGCCCATAAAATTTGAAAAAAATTTCCTCATTCTCTGTAAATGGGGGAAATATCCAAAATAAATTACAATTTTTAAACATGTTAAATTTTAATATTATTTTCTTAAAACTTTTAAATTTTTCAAAAATTAACATACCAAAATAATTTTTTTTAAGTAAAAACCCTTTTATTTGATATAAATTTTTTAAAAATTTGACCCTTTATTTGCCCACGGGGAGGATTTAAAATAGCAACTTCTGCACAAAAATTTAACTTTTGAAAATGTTCCAGAAATACTGTATCCTTCAAACATATATCAAATTAAAGCTTATGTACTATAAAATAAATTAAAAAAACTTGTCTTATAGACTTCATGCAAATAGCTGCCCTAGTTAAAAAAATGTTATTTGTGTTAAAATTTTTGATTTTTTACATCTAACTTTCTGAAAAATGTATAGATAAACACAAATTTTTGTTTCTAAATACTTTATAAATACTCTTTTCATCCAACATACTTTTTTTTAAATTGGGCAATTTCCCATTATACAGAGGGGTTTAAAACTTGAAACATACATATAAAAAGTAGGACTTTTGAAAATTTCCTGAAATACTACGTTTTTTACTATATGCTAAATTAAAGCTCATGTTAAGTACTGTAAGTTAAAAAAAAAAAAAATCTTTTATGGGCAAATGGCAATCGAAATTTAACAAAAAATATGATTTAATATTGCTTTTGGAATAATCCATAATTTCTTAAAACTAAACACAATACAAATTTGCATTGAAGCGTTTCTTATGATAGTGATTTTAATTACTATAAATATCATCTACTTGTAACAACTATGCTACACTGTGCTACGACCCCACTGAGCTAGTTTTTTTATTTTACACAATTTTTACGAATATGCTAAAAATATAATATCGGTCAAAAATAGTTAAAAAGTTATAGCACATTAAGTTTGCTTTAGCGCTGTAATTAGGTCTCGCGCATTTTATTAATATTTTTAATAATGTAGTTTTTAACTATTTATAAAGGTTATGTGATTCAATTGAGAGTACATTTAACTAGGATTGTAATTTTGGAAACCTCTTATCCGTTTTTACTTCAAATACAAATTTTCGGTATTTCTCGAAATAATGTGCATTTTGTGAACTAAAATTATCAGTAATGACAAATTTTGCGGGCACTTATGTCTATCGGCTCTCGTGATCAACTCCAGTCCCTTTGAGATTTTATGAGACGCTTCCAGAAGAAAGGAAAAGTTCGAAAATGCATAATAATGTTCTTATTATAATTCCGTGTAAATAGGCAAAATAGTCATGTGTGTAATACGTTTAATAACAGCGTTAAATGCAAACTTTAATATGCTATTAACAGTTTTTGACAGAAATTTAATTTTTGAATATTCGATATCAATAAAAAAAAACAAATCGAAATAATCGTTAACTATATATATGCCGACATTTGAAGATTAAAAAACGTATCAGATTTTTTTTATAATAAACATAAATTGTTTATGTTTATTTATAAATTATAATTGTAAGAGTACTAAGAGTACTTTACATAAAATTTAATGTGAGTCAGATATTTCGAAGTGTAAGATATGAACCCAATTTGTATACTTACAAGTATCCCAAACTTATTAATACTGATTTATCTTGTAAATTTCTAGATATTTATATATATATAAAAATTAATTTAGAATAAAAGAAAAAAAAAATGATAAATACTAAATCATACTAATGTTTGCAATTGTTAAGAAGTAAAGTAACGCACATTAAACGTATACATATTATACTTAATAACTAAATGTTTAAATATTAATATAATACTTTAACTAATATAATTAATAGTAATTTTAATTGTAACAATATTAAGGTTTAATATTAATATATTATAATTTATAAACGTATAACAATAAATTCAATTAAAACCACGAAAAAAACGGTAAAAAAAATTATTTTTAAATTAAAAAAAAGTTATTAAAAAAAGTAAAATTAAAATTAATTATTTATGTAAATACTTACTTTATATAACTAACTAAACGTAACCGTTCTTGTGAGCCGGTTGCGCACGTTCAGCTGAGATCCACGTACGAGTAACGTTTAAACACTAATGGTTAATTGGAACGTTCCTCTACTGTGCAAGAGATTACAATGACTATATGACTGATGTAGATACGAAAGGCTCATTGCACGTGTTCCTCTTGCCTTCAAGGCAAACGATAACGTTTTTCTAGGAATTTTATTTTTATAGGGGGGGAGTAGCGGGGTATATAATTTTTTATTTGTTTCTAGTTTTTATAGACATCACAAACTGCAGGTGTTCACATATCCAAAATTGTTGACCATAACTACTACTAATCCTTATATGACTATCGCATTTATTTTTATCATTTGTTTGAAAGATATTCTTCGGTATACTAAACAACATTAAGATGGATTTATTTTTTTACCAAAATGTACATCAATAATTGGTATATATTAAGAAATGTATATTCATATAAGACCATAATTATTATGGTCTTAAATCACTGATAATTATTTTACAAGTAGTAGATTTTAAATAGATTTAAACTTACAATAATTAACTAGTTTAACTGTTCATAAAATTATTTAACAGATTTATCTACTAATTATAATAACTGTGAGTGATTATCGAAAACTATAAATTGTATTAACATCAAAATCGGAACTATTTTTATGTTAATATGTCAATAGCTATGTTTTCACTCTCTAAGAAACTTTTATAATATTTATCATATGATTAACTGAAATTGTGTTGAGTTTTAATTATTATTTAATGTATCATTATTTTTGTACAATTTTCACATTAAGAGATGATTTGTAAAATAGCTATTTGTACCCACGTTTTTAAATCATTAAATTAACATAAATAATTCATATTATTTTTAAATTCAAGAAGCCTGTATATAAATCATTCACACGAAGGGAGTTTCCAAAACATGTAAAATAATAAATGTTAATAGCTTTGGTACGCTAGAAAATGTTCTTGATCCAGACGTTTTTCGTGGAATTTCCTAAGGGTGATCGACAATTAATAGGCCTTTGTCTGATTTTAACTTTGTTTACTTAGTCGTTGATGTTAAATTATTTGCACTATTCTACACAGTTTTACTTTTATGACGTTGCCAAGAACACGTTCCCTCACTAGAATTTTTTTCTAGTGGTACTGAATTAGATTTTAATATTAATTTCTGATTTTGAGCATTTTTATTGTGAAAATATGAACATAAATAATTTTAAATTATAAGAATTATTCTAAATTAAATAAATTCTTTAAAATATAAAAGTTTAAAAAATGAATAATTATAACGTAATGTCTATAATAACAAATAAGATAGGAATTTCATGTATTTTCTTTATATCGTTAGAGAAAGTCCAATGTTACTTATGACCTCGCATTTTTAGGTATATGAAAATCGTATTAATTTTTAACCCTTAAATTATGTTGCCATTTAAACCACTACTAGTCCAGTTAGAAAATAATTCATTTATTGCGTTTCTTCTTTGTACCCACCCCATATTAACGAGATCAATTCTTATGTACCTTCAAAACTTGTTGCACCAATTCTACAAACTTCCCTTTTCAAAAAATTGTTATAAAAGCTAATTTTCGAGCTATAACAATATTATGTATTGAAAGCTATACAAAAAAAATTCTGCGTTTCTAGAAACCAAAATTTATTATTCTGTAAAACGAAAAAAGTAATTAGTCCGAAAAAAGCGAATTTATTTTTTGAAAGTTTCGACTTATTTAAAAACTTTTAATGACATATTTAAAAAAATCAATTATCAGTAAATATGAAAATAAAATTTAGATTTATATCTGATTAATATCAGTCAATAAGTATGAATTATTACTTAAGTCTGAAAGTAATTAAAATAAAAAGATATAATATAACTAATACGATGATAAAATTTGTATCATTATTTATTGAAATTTAAATAGCTTTATTACTCAATATGTTTTTTTACCATCTATTTAAATTATATGGAATATAAGAAGTTATTTTATAATCCTTACACATTTTAGATGCTCAAAAAAAAATCAACTTTCAAATAAGTTTATGTTTAGTTTGCGATGCTTCTTGGGTACAAGTTCCTAAACACTTAGAACTAATGTACATGTCACGCAATTTCAATGTCAAAATTGACCCTAGTGGATTGCCTACTGGTGTTCATGGAGCTACGTGAGATAATTTTGACATTTTTATTATTTACTATTTATTTGCATATTTTTAATTATGTTTTCCACAAAAAATATACAGTGTGAAGGCCTATGACACGAAGAATACCGGAAAAGGGCCCGTATTTACTTTTGAAGTGACTGTTGTTCGCCCCTTAATAACGAACAGTTCTGGATTTATTTCATACGAGAATGTGAAATTTGAAGCCGGTACAATAAATAGACATTTTATTTTAGTTCCGAAAAATGTTTCATGGGCTTGTACGTATTACTTCTTAATACAATAAATATATATGTTAATTATTAATAAAATATTAGCACTTCATATCAAACATTTGGACAATAATACAACCGCCAATTTCATTTTGCACACTGTTCAATTGTTACCTCAAAAATCATGTAAATATATGGAAACTCAAAAAATGTTCAACTTGAAATCGAATGTTATACAAACGCATTTTGTTGTCCAGGTATGCGTTTTCAATTTTTATAAAAATAAAATGTTTATAACATACCTTAATTTCGATTTTATTGTCTTTTTATCGTATCATAATTTGAAGCCTTTTTTCATTAGCCTCTATCATAAGCAATTTAATTATATTGCCTCACTTGGCATATTCGCTTCGTAGATGAAAATTTACGACTGAGATAATTTAGGTAAATAATATTATTATTATTTAATATAAAACCGGAAATGGTATAAATTTTTATGATAAAATCTATGTAATATAGTAACGTATTTCAGTAGTATGATATATTGGTAATTTCTCAGACAACTCATAATGAACTAATTTTAATTATACATGTAACAACTTGTTTTTATAATATGTACATTACTTATGCTTTTAAAAGTGATTAAATACTTCATAACTATTAGTATTGTTATAAAATAAATTGTAATACGAATTAGTCGCGAAGAGAGGTTTATTACGATAAATAATTTATGAAAACTTATAGTCTATTTTTGTATTCTTTGATATATTCCTGTCAGTTTCTCTTAGAAAAAAATATTTTTTCATTTCTTAAAGCATACTGAAACCTTAAAATATATTACTTATATAAATCAAAATTACTACATGACATAATTTTTAATTTATTGCTTAACTATTCGGATGGTAGCTTCAATTCAGAAGGTTATTGTATTTTTTTTTTTGTAATATGGAAACTCACTCAAAAGTATATATTGCACAATAGTCTGTGGATCTAAGGATCCTGTTCAATAAATAAAATATGTGCGTTTTTAACCTGCTTATGTTTTACAGGTGTTCAAAAATAGTAAGGAAACGGGTCAATTATTACAAACAATGAGAACAATAGATACCCTTTTCCTTATTTACTGAACACTATACACTATACTCTTTATATATAATAAATAAGATTTTCATTCATTTTTTAAAGTGATGTAAAGACTGTGAAAACATTTAACTTGATTAAAGAACTTCAAATTAATAGAAGTATTATTTCATATTATTTTTTAGAATATATGAACTTGTATTTATGTTGTAATAATTGAAAAATACTACTTAGTAATAATAATATATTTTTAATTTTAACCTATATCAAAGTGCTTAGGGTGTTCTATTGATAATTATTATTACTTTACTGTGCGATAAGTTAGTCGATTAGAAATTGTGCTAAACGGTGTACAATTTTATATACATTAGAAACCAATAAAATTAATATTCCTAAATGTTTTTTTTTCCAAAATATTGTATGTTTATTTATTTAATTATTGATGATTATTAATATGCGAGAACTATCGTAGTCTTCACAGTTGTCCCCATTGTGCAGCACAATGTGAGTAATAGTACTTTTCATTTGTCCAAAATTATAATCGATCAAAATTTTGACTATTGATTAATAAAAAGGATTAAAATACATTTTTTATATTTAGAGGTCAGTTAATTCAAATTTAACATACATTTTTGAATCCCTCCTTTATATAGGCTATTTTTATCATTACCTAGTTATTGTGTTCAAATTTTTGTAAAAATATTCAATTTTGGCCAGCTATAACCGATATCCATAAAAACCCAATAATTCAATTAAAAGCCTTTAGGGAGTATTATTATTAGTATATCAAATTGAAATATAAACATGTATTTAGATTTATGTGAGAAAAAAAATCGAATCTCTAAAAGGTTCTAAAAATATTTGTCGCATTAAGGTGAAATTAAAAGTTAATTACTTACTTAAAATACTTGTTAGTTATAAAATGTCTAAATCATGTTTGTGTTTCATTTCAAATTATTAAGTTAAAGTTATACCTATAAACATTGACCGTCTACTTAAATAAATACCAAAACATTTTTTTTTAACTTTAAAATGCTGTTGCTGCACGTTGAAACTTACAAGCATAAATAAAGTACTTTACAGAATTAATTTATCTAATGACATTAATTAAAGTTATGACCGTGTCACGGCACTAGACTTAATAAATTTTATCAGTGGTACTATATTCGTTATCATCAGTACCCAATTATAAATCATCATCGCCTATTAAAGGCAATACCTTGTTGAAATCACTCCTTCTATTCCAAGATATGTTAAAAATATTGTTTCCTCGGGTGTCCATTTCGTTTCTTTCTAGTTATTTTTCTTACAAAATATTTATTATAAAGTCATTGTCTCGGATGATGTGTCCTATTAACTTAATTTTTCTTGATTCAATTATATACATTCGTAATAATTTACATTTTTAACTATAATAAAATTGTGGACCTTTAATCGGCTGGAACACGAATTCCTGTCACTGCGCGCTGGATTAGGATCAAAAACCTCGCCGATATTTTTACCTATAATTCCCTCTTACATAAGAGCCATGGACCTTGAATGAATATTATTTTTGCTCTTTTAATATTAGATTTCGGACTTTATTTTGTCTTCACGGTGAAAATAGTTACTGAATGCTATTTTTGTATGAAAATTCTCAATTTTATATTTTTAATTTTTAACTTTATAATCCTATATCATCTTATTGAAAAATGTATAAATCAATATAATTTTTTTACGAGAAATAATATTTATATCCCTCTTTCATTCGACATACTTTTTTTTTTAATAACATCATTTCCCTTTATATATAAATATACATTCATATATTACACTTATAAATCATAAAACTTGAAATCAGGATATAAATAAGGAAATAGGATAATGAAGCTTTTGGAATAATCCATCAATTTTTTTAAATTAAACACATTCTACAAATTTGCATCGAAGCGACTTTTATGATAGTGATTTTAATCACTGTCAGATATCATTTATACTGTACCCAACAATGCACGTCATCACTGTGCCGCAACCCCACTGTGCTGGGTTTTTTGTTTTTAACTCCTACAAAGTGGTAAATTTGACATCAAATTTTGTAAAAAGCCACAGTCTGTATCTGAAAAGGTCAGATAGTTACAACAAATGATTTATTACAGGAACCTACTAAAATTTTCTTGGTAGTCTAAACAATTAGGGCCTATATGAGGGGAGTATATGACTCCCCTGACAATTTAAAATATCTTAAATAACTAATAATTACAAAATTGAATAATAATAGATATTATTATGGTAATATTTTATAATACAGGAAAATGTGGTATTAGAATTTGTGTTGGCTAAATATTGGTCCAGCTCCGCAAATATGAACTTGTCATACAAATTACAATTTCATGGTGTTGTACCTCAAACTAGACAATTAACAGCATATCATGGTATGGGACTCCATTCGGTGACTTTGAGACCAGGAATTAAGAATGAGGAAATTCATCCGGCTGTTTCTTTGAAACAACTTGTCACTGTTCTAAAGTAATACAATTCTACTAAAATAATTTTATATGAAATTTGATTAAATTTAGTATCCATAGTTTTTCATTTGAAAAAACTTTCATTATCATAATATTGTGTTATTCTAAAAAAATAATTTTTAAGTTGGCAAAAAAGTAAAAAAAATTGGTAAACATTTTTAAGAATATACTTTTTATGTATGGGGTTGCTAATTTTTCATACGCTATGTCTTTATATTACTTTTTAGCTTTTTCAGCGCTGAATGAATGCTTTTCCGTTTTCTTTATCCGTAAGACCTTTTGATTTTAACACATACTTTTGAAATTTTTACATAAAAGAACTGTTTAATATCTCATTGTAGCTGTAAAAGTATTTTAGATTATCTTGTCTTTGGACAACATATTGATTAAGAACCTAAAAGTTTTAGTTTATTAGATTAAGTTGTGGAAATCCCTTTTGCAAATAACAATTATTTTCACTCAAATAGATCTCTTCTAAATTAGCAGAGCAGAGAAATTCACATCTAAATAAACTTTTGTAATACCAACTAATATTTTCCGTAAAATAATTTTAAATTCAATAAATAGATCAATAGTGTATCGATTTATTAATTAATAGTATTCTTTATTGTTGTAATATCTCTTATACTTACTTGCTGTCGATGTTATTCGAGTTAAACGATTTCTGATTTGTTAAATCTCATAGTAAATAATATTTAAAAAATGTTTTAATTTTCAAGGCGAGTAAAAGTTTATACATTATCTTATATTTACATCTCCTAATAGAAAATGTCATTCTGTAGTAATCATAGATTTTTTAAAATCTATATTAATTATCTCTAATAATTGTCACTTTACTTTTAAAATATTTAGACCTAATGATGGGAAAATTATAACATTGTCTTCCCGTGATGTTATTCCATTACAAAGGCCTATTTATCAATTAATATTAACTTATTCATTTTCACTGGCGAAAACAACTGAAACTTATTTGAGTTGTGGATTATTTGATGAACTATTATATGAATGTGAATATGAATCTCAATTATGGATGATTTTTGATTCCAATAAACAGTACATTACTTCTGGTGATGCGTATTCAAGTAAAGTGAGTTAACTTATTCATTTATAGATACCATCAATGTTAAAAAATTATAAAAAAACCTTTAACTACAATTAATTTTATATATCTTTTTTATATATAGTACATTAAAAAACTAGATAAAGGAGACTATCATGCTAAAATGATTGTAAGGCATGAGCGAAAAGAACTTTTAGATAAAATTTCTGAGTTACAAATTCAATTAGTACAAAAATTGCAAAATCCTTTAACCTTAGAAATATACAATAGTCATTATCAAGCGTCAATTTTTGGTAAAAAGTGTCCAAATACTATAATTACACCAGAAAGTAATTTAGTAACCTTGTATATAGGTACAATTCCTAATGAAAAGTAAGATTATTAATATAAATAATTTAAATTTAGCAATTTTAAACATCCTAACATTTTTTTAATCATTAGGTTACTTTCATTAAAATTAACAGCTGGTCAATTTTTAAATGGAAATATTGTGTATGTTAAAGATGAAAATGGAAAAAAAGTTGTAAGTTTAGTTACAGTTTCTTAAAACATAATTGTTTGTTGATTCAGTAATTTTTAAATTGATAGTTACTTAATTTATTAAGTGAAAATGTTCTAAAAAAATAATTCCTTTGCCATTAAAACTATATTGTTGTTGTGTTCTAGTTTTATTTAGTGCTTTTTCTGTTTACTCTATTATAAATTTGTGTCTACTAGTGTATTTCAAGCAAATTATTAATAAAAATGTGTTATTTACTTAATTTTACCAAAATGTAAGATTAGGTGGTTATAATTATCAAATGGTAATATAGATAAATGTTCTAAATTATACTTTAAAAAAGTATAAAAGAAAATTATAAAAACATTGAGATTATTTCAGCATTCTGAATAATTATCTGTATTCATTTATATTTCAATATACAGTCATTCAAAAATATTTAAATATATTTTAACAAAGTTATTTATTAAAAGTATGACTTGTTAATTTAAAATGATCATATTTTTTTGCACTATTATTTATTTTTAACTATAAAACCCTAATAGGATTTAAGTTTAAGTTTGATTATAAGAAAAATATTATATTAATTGTTTGTTGGATTGTAGGACTCTTATAATTTTAAATATTTTATTACTGACACATTGAAACCAAAATCTGGTTCAAAAACAACTGATGAGAATAAAACAAAATTAGAAGAATTTAAGGAATCCATATGTGATGCAAAAACCAATTGGTTAACTAAACTAGGTTTGTTTAGTTTTATGTGCTTAAAAAAATCAATATTGAAGTTTCAAGAGTAGTATATTCATAACTATTAATTTATTGACAACTTATTAAAAATGTATATATTTGTTAAACTTTATGTTACTGTAACTTTTCTTGGAAAACATGAATAAATTTTAAATGGTTATGTAGTTATTGTTCTTTATAAGCCACATTTATTTTGATATACAGGGTGATTTTTTCATCAAAACTCACTCAATTACTTACAGAATAATAATATATTTAAACATTTTTTTTTTTTTAATTATCTTTAGTTACACATTATTCTTGAATTATTAACTATGTAATACTTTTTAAGTTCATCCCTTATGCCTGATAAGGGTATCAACTTTGTTTTTTTAAATGGGAACACATATTTTAAATTTAATAAAGTGTTTGAGTTTTTAATTTAATAGCAAATGGCATTTGAACTTTTAGTATAACTTTATTTGTTTATTAGATATAAACATTTACAGTTTCAAATTTTTGAGTTAATATACATGTATAATACATAAGGGATTACAAATACAGGTAGCTAATTGATTTTTTATGACATCGATATTAGAAGGTACACACCATTGTTATTATCAATGGTAAAAAGGCACATTGTTGTGAGTATATAAATACACTAACTGACAATACAGAAAGTATATCTATTGATAGTCATAATTAATTATAAAAAATCCTAGACTGTGACAGCAATGTCATAAAAAATCAATTAGATACCTGTATTTGTAATCCCTTGTGTATTATACATGTATATTAACTCAAAATTTTGAAACTTTAAATATTTATATCTAATAAACAAATAAAGCTATACTAAAAGTTCAAATGTTATTTGCTATTAAATAAAAAACTGAAACATTTTATTTAATTCAAAATGTGTTCCCATTTAAAAAACAAAGTTGACATCCTTATCAAGCATAAGGGATGAACTTAATAAGTATTACATAGTTAAAAATTCAAGAATAATGTGTAACTAAAGATAATTTAAAAAAAAAATGTAAAAATTATTATTATTCTGTAAGTAATTGAGTGGGTTATGATAAAAAAAAATCATTCTGTATACCATGAAAAAATTCATCACAATTATTTACACTTATTAAACATAATTTAATGGTAATTATTCTTTTTAATGAATAGTTTAATAGATAAAGAAGATAACTGACATTCTAGAAAATTAAAAAAGAATACTTTTTCTTATAATGTCTCATAAAATTATAAAATTTATTTTTAGATACAAACAGTTCCAAAAATAATTTTTTAAATATTTTTCTTAAATGTATAAAAATGTTTTAAGTATTTATACAATAAAGTCATTTTCCCCAAAAAAGTTTTTTAATAATTTAATTTTTTCGAATGAATATTTTAAACTTATAAATAATGTGTTTTATTTTATTTAGAGTATGGCACTGATTCTACGAAGCTATATGAAAGTTTAGCCAAAAAGTTTGGAGAAAAAAATTCGTCAGTGCATACTTCATGGATACAATGTATTGAGCCTGATGACAAACGATTGTTTCCAAATTGTTTAATTAAAGATATAGACTGTGATAAATTAAATCTTATTGTAAATGCAGCAGATCAAGTTTTGGCAAACGTTAATCAAAATGAACTCCTAGCTTTTTATGGGATAAAATCAGATCAAAGACCTGATGCATTGAAGCTTAAAACGTAATACAAAAATTTGTATCATAATCGTAATGCTTTATAAATGATTAATAAACCAATTTGGAGGAGTTTAGGATAATGAAACCATGAAATAGATTAAATTTCATCTATTCTGTGGCTAAACATTTATTGGACTATATAGATATAATTTGAGTTTTAAACACAATGAAGAATTAGAAATAATCAACTTTAATTCAATCTAATTTTTCTTTTTAACATAATTTAATAATATTTAGTATTTTACACATGATATTATTATTACATCAATTGTATTACAGTAAAGACATATTTTGAACAAAATGTTTGGAGGTCTAACTTCATTTAAAAAATATTTCTACATAAAAATACATCATTTTCATAATTTTTAGGGTAAACCATGGCACCCATGACTATAGTTTACCTATTCAAATTTTTGTTTCAAACTTTTATAATTAGTTTTTGGTATTATTAATAATTGGTGATTTCTAGAAAAATTAATTATGTTTGTGATTGGTATTAGGACAAATGATAGACTAAAAAATAATTTAGTTGAAGCACTGAGTCGTAAAGGCGCAGCATTATGCCAACTTTTCTATTTTATGGCAGATAGTAAAATAATAATAGAAAGTATAGAAAAAAATATCACTTTAGAAATTATAGATGATGTATGGCTTCAAGTAACCCGATTCATTTCACCAGATTCTGATTTAAAGGTTTGTTATCTTAGTAAATTTAAATTTATAAATAAAAATCTTGCAATAATTTATTTATTTAAATAGAGTTTCAACTATTTTAATATTTGGTATGGAGTCATAAAAAAACATTATGGTCGTGTAATCAAATTACTTTTGAAGATGCTTGATGATAAGAATGTCAAAGAAATAGAACAATGTTTACTTTGGGCTGTTAAAGCTAAATTTGGAGCAGAGCAATCTAAACATATTATTAATGCTATTACAAATGCTCTTATTGTACATTATCCTAAAAATTATCGCCCTTTTTAATATAAATGCAATAAATTAGCTCGTGTAATAATAATTTTTTTTTATTTCTTTTACTAAATTATTTTTATATCATTACTATACTTATTCCATTTCAAAAAATTATATTTAATATACCTAAAATAAAACCTGTACATTTATTATATACAATTTAAGTATAATTATAAATTAACATTAATTTATTTATGTGGCTATTTAAATTTTTTTTCAATTTTATTTAATAAATTGTGCATATTTTATCATTTTTAGTAAGTAGCAAGTTTCTTAGTTTATTCAATTCAGAGTGAAATATTATAGTGTACTACATTTAGGTCATGTACTGAGTAACTTTTTTCTAGAAATGAGGATAATTTTGATTGGCCTATTATCCTTATTAATTATTGTCTTTAAGGATTCCATGTTTGTCATTCCAAAAGAGCGTTAACGTATAGTAAATAAATCTTATTATATAATAGAACAAGGAAAAAAACGCTTTTCTGAAAAAATTACTTAGCGTGCTCGGATTTTCAAAAAATTTTTTTTCAACGAAATTACTCGGTCATCAGACTCCAGGAAAATTATTGGCGAAGGTCGAAAAATTTTTGCCGCTAGCCCGCTCGCTTTGTAAAATTTCGACCGTTTTTGAGAAAAACGCTCGCTGACGCCACCGTTTTACGTCTTAAGGTTTGAAATTCTCATCAGACCCGCTCAATGACATTCCTGAGATATAATAAAAAATTAAATTCAATCCGTTCGTTTTTCACCGTTTTTTTTTTAAGTCCACGCGTATGGTAATAATATGCGCATTGATTCATTTCTGCTCATATGTTTATTATGAACCTTAATTATATGGTGTAATATGTATTTTTATTAGGACACTATTTTGCATTTGCACATAGCACTATATTTTATCGAGGAATTTTATATGTTAAATATAAATTGCAAGACGGTTATAATTATATAAGTTTGTACTTTCATTATCAGAACAGTACATTATTAATAATATTTTTTTTCTCATATATGATTTGTGAGTACAACGTTAAATCGCAGTTACCAATATTTTTAAAATTAAATTTTTTACATAGTCCCACGTATAATAACCTGCTGAATTTTTTTAAAATTATTCTATAATATAAACACAATTATTGTAATTAGAATATTAATAATTTTTGTGTATTCACTCACTTATAATTACTATATCTAATTGAAATGTTCAGCTAACTAGCCCGTAACGGACATTTAGTCACATTTTTTGGGAGCAAGAAGAAGCCTTACATCCTTAAGGGGCTTATCTAGAATTTTAACATTCTAGTAAATAGTGACAGTTTTTCTAGTTCTTTTTTTGTTCATCATTTTTTTTATGGTGGTGGTATTTTCTATAGAGTAACCCATCTCAACGTATCACTCCAGAGTTCATGTAGCTATTAATCTAGCCCTGAGTGGATTTACTCTCGCATCCGTATCATTTATATAACAATATTTTATTTTAAATATAAATCTATATTAATGAATAAAAATAACTTTTAATAATAATTTATTTTATTTTAATTTTAATGAAGTACATCTATTTTACAAAAATTGCACAATATCTTAAACAGGCATTATTTATTTATTATGTTATTTAATCGTTCATTGTAAAATATAGTTAACAAATATGATTTGACTAGCCGGTATGGAACCTACAACAAAAATTTACTATTTACTCAATAAGAAAACAATTTATTCATGACATAATAATTATATCGTACAGTAATTATTATTGTACGATTTATATCACCACCTGTTGGTTAAATATTTTATTATAATTGTAAAATATTAATCTTTAAAATTAAAGTAGAATAGATAACACCAATAAAAACTATTTATAATCAAAATAATACAGTTTTATAACTTTTGAATGATGTTTTAATGCTATGAGGCTATGTTCTCTTAAACCACACGATGTCTGCCTATGAAACAGCCTACTTCTTATTAACTAACTCCAGTCAGTCTTTAGAACCGGAACTTTGACTTTTACACTAAGGCCTTATACACTGTTCTTTTCATAAAACTTTCAGATTTTCTTGACTATTTCGAGCGCATTGGCTAAAACACACCGATTTTAATATACGTGATAAAAGATGACTCCGTAATATCCAAAACCAGCCGTTGGCACTGCGCGAACTGACTCCAAGTCGCATTATATTGGTTCACGCGACTCACTTGGGAAAGTTCAGCGTTCAATAAGTAATCCAGTATTTTTTTATAAGTACTAGGACAAATCAAAGTTCAAAATAAAACCGTATTTATCCCGTTTTATAAACTCTTCTATTAATGTTCAAGAGTGCACTCGGTAACCTGGCTCTGATTTATGTACTGTTTATGCGATCAATTTGTATTTACTACTTGATTTTTTTAAGTGAAATAGAATCATTATAATGGTTATAACAGTTATGATATACAGTTATAATTTGATATAATAATTGAACCTTTAATTAGTAAATTAATAAAGTAATAACATTTTAAATATAACAATGATCTATAACTAGAATAACTAGTCGTGCCGCTAACTACTGGTCAGCAATTCTAATACGCGATTTTTTAATTGTGATTTAATTTAGCTGTAATATATATGCCATTCTCGCAAATTATTGACAAATATTACAATTTTTATAAGTGCTCCTTTTGAGATATAGCTATTTTTATAGAACTGACAAGATTTTTGCTTCTTTGGTCTCTTTCCTGTTAATAATTTATTTTATGTTGAACTCAAAAGTAAGTAATTAAATTATTATTATTAAAAATATAGTAGTTCATTGAATTTGTAAGAAATTTCGGAAATAGCTAATATAAAAAATAAAATAAATTTTAGTTAAATATGCTGTATGGTAAAATTATTTAAAGAACGTTAAAGAAACAACAATGTGTTAGTCCAACACATTCTTCTTCTTCTTTTTCCTCACCTTAATCCAAACTACTTGGGGTAGGCCAACCTTATCCTAAACTTGACATGATCATTCAATTATATCTCTCCATTTCTTTTTTGGTCTTTCTCTACCTCTTCTTCATTCAACATTTATTTCTATAACTGTTCTTATGGCTTCCGATTCCTCACTTCTCATAACATGATAAAACCATCTCAGTCTATTTTCTCTCATCTTACCCACAATTGACGCTACACCTTTACTCTTTCTTATATGTTTATTCCTTATTTTATCTTCTCTAGTCACTCCACTCATCCATCTAAGTATTCTCATCTCTGCTACATTCATTCTCTGCTCTACTTTCTTGTTAACCGCCCAATACTCTGAACCATACATCATAACTGGTCTCATTACAGTCTTATAGTCCAACACATTGACAACTGAATAATTTATTTTAATTTCAAACAAAATACCTATAATTTTTTTTACTAAATATTCACAATAATTGTAACATTCTTTGAATTATTTATTTACTAATATTTATTATTTATAAAATGAATCTTTGATTTCGATAACTCATCTATATGACTAGATAATTTGCACAAAAAATATCTTACAACACAGAATAAATATGTGCCTGATTTGAAATTTGAATCTAATTTTTCTCACTATAATAAAGTTATTTCCAAAAAAATGTATACTTTAACCATTATGTGTTTTTACGATATTATAATAGTAATAAAAACGCAGAAAGTTTAGAAAAAATTGTAAAAAAAGAATACTTTTTTTGTCCCCAATTCCAAAATAATTATTAAAATTATAATTGTTACTAACTGTAGCGAGGTGTAATATATATATAGAAGTAATAAACACTTTTATGATTTAATAACAACTATACTATATTACAACGAACTAACAAATAACAGCGAGAGACGAAGCGCGTTTAAGACAGAGTGCGTAAGTGATTGATTGATCGATTGATTGACTGGAGCGACGATCTTGCCCTTAAATAGTCAGAGGAATCTTCTAGAGGCGGCGGCGGCCGAACATTCTAGAACATTCGATCGCCACACCACCCCCCTACGGAGTGGAGTTAGCTAGGGTCAAAAATGTCCGGGAATCTGACTCGGCGGCCTGAGCGAGTTGTTCGTACTGGCTGTGTTGATGGATCGGTATTAGGCGGTTGTTTTTGTTTGGGCGTATTCGGGACAGTCGCTGGTGGAGCATGTGCCTGGCTATCGGTTGTGCTTTCGTTCACCATGAAGTAGGCAGGTTTTACTCTATCAATCGTCACCGTAACTGGTTGATTTCGAACTTTTATTGTGAACGTTTTGTCATTTCGGGCAATTACTTCGTAGGGACCTTGATATGGCGGTTGAAGTGCTGCTCGGACACCTCCCTCCCTGAGAAATACGTGTGAACAGTCCTTAAGGTCCGCAAAAACAAATGATCGTGGATTTGAGTGGCGAGATGCAGGTACTGGACGGATTTTATTCATAACACTGCGAAGACGATCTAGTAAGCTAGTAGGGTCGTTCGTACTGCTATTATCTTGATTGTCTGTGAAGAAATCACCAGGAAGATTAAGAGGCTCCCCATAAACAAGTTCCGCAGACGTGGCTTTTAAGTCTTCCTTAAACGCAGAACGTATTCCGAGAAGCACGATAGGCAGTGACTCAGTCCACGAGTCTTTTGCGTGGGCCATGATGGCTGCCTTTAGTTGTCGGTGCATTCGTTCGACGAATCCGTTTGCAGCAGGATGCCAACTGGTAGTGGGGCGAAGCGTAAAACCAAAACGTTTTGCTAAAGTTTTTAAAGTAGCTGAAACAAACTGAGTACCACGGTCAGTCGTAACGTATTGAGGTACTCCGAAGCGTGAAATCCAGCAATTGAGGAAACCCTTAGTGACATCGTCTGCTGTTATACGTTCGAGTGGATACACCTCCGGCCAACGGGTGAAACGGTCGATTACCGTCAGACAGTACCTAAAGGACTGTGATGGCGGCAATGGACCGATGATATCGACATGAACATGTTTGAATCGGCGTGAAGGTGTTTCAAAGTTTCCCAGTGGGGCTGAGACGTGTCGGCTTATTTTCAATCGCTGACAGTGGACGCAGGCACGTGCTCAGGAACGGCAATCCTTTTTCATTGCTGGCCACACAAATCGTTCTGAAACTAAGTGAGCTGTTGCGCGTGCACCGGGGTGACTAAGGTTGTGTAACTGATCAAATGCGTGACGCCGGAATCGTTGTGGCAAAAATGGTCGTGGGCGTCCCGTTGACGTGTCGCAATAAATATAGGCTGAAGATCCTGGCACTAGTACCTTCTCCAAATGAAGAGATGAATTGTTGTCAGTAAAATGTTTGAGTTCATCATCCGTGTCTTGAGATGCAGCAAGAGCTCGGTAGTCCAGCGGGAGAGACACAACTTCAATGCGTGACATTGTATCCGCGACGATATTTTCATCACCTTTAATGTGTTGAATGTCGGTGGTGAATTCGGATATGAATGTCAACTGGTTGAGTTGCGTAGGAGGTATCTTTTCTCTCCGTTGGGTGAAAGCATATACGAGTGGCTTATGATCGGTGAAAATGGTACATGGTTGTGCTTCGACAATGTGCCTGAAATACTTCACCGATTCATAGATGGCAAGCAACTCACGATAATACGCAGGCCACGCACTTTGTTTCACCGACATTTTCTTTGAAAAAAATGCTATGGGTTGCCAGATGTTATTGACTCGCTGCTGCAGACATGCGCCGATAGATTGGCTAGATGCGTCTGTGAATAGTCCAAGTCGTGCGGCTGGATGAGGATGTGCTAAAAGAGTAGCGGTCGCAAGACTTTCTTTGCATGTGGTGAACGCTTTTTCTAACTCGGGAGTCCATTCTATCGGTTGGGAACCTTTTGTCTTCGGGCCTTTGAGAATACCGTGAAGTGGTGCTTGCAGGTCGGCAGCTTTGGGAATAAACCGGCGATAAAAATTTACCATTCCCAAAAACCGGCGTAATCCTTGCATAGATTTTGGCAATGGATACTGTCGTAGGGCTTCGACGCGTTCCGGTGGCGGGCGGGTGCCTTCAGAAGATACTAGGTAACCTAGAAATTTCACCTCAGCCGAACCTAATACACATTTTTGCGGGTTAACGACAACACCGTAGTCAGAAAGTCTCCCGAAAAGAGTGCGTAAATGCTGTTTGTGGTCCTCTTCCGATTTAGAGAATACCAAAATGTCATCAATATATGCATAACAGAAGTCCAACCCATTGGTAACTTCGTCTATGAAGCGTTGAAAAGTTTGTCCAGCATTTCGCAATCCGAATGTCATAAAAGGAAATTCGTAAAGTCCGAATGGAGTGGTAATGGCTGTTTTGCATATATCGTCCGGATTAACAGGTATTTGATGGTAAGCCTTTACCAGATCGATTGTGGAAAATAGCGTGCAATTAGCCAGGTTGTGCGAGAAATCATGTATGTGTCTGACTGGATAGGAGTCTGGTATAGTTCGGGCGTTCAGCGCGCGGTAATCACCGCAAGGACGCCAGCTGTTCTCCCCTTTCGGTGCTAAATGTAATGGTGAAGACCACGGACTGCTTGAAGGTCTAGCGGTACCTGCCTTGACCATTTCCGCGAATTCCTGTTTGGCGATTTTTAGTCTACCTGGAGCTAAGCGGCGTGGGCGGCAGGCTATTGGCTGACCAGGTGTCGTAAGAATGTGGTGCACTGTTTGATGTTTTATTGTCCTGGGCAATCCGGTGGGACGTGTGATGTCCGGAAATTCTGCGAGAAGTGCAGCCCAAGGGGAAGTGTTGGCAACTGATTTTATGCTGCATTGATTTACAGAGGAAACCTTACCATTCACAGCCAAGCCTGTGACACCATCAATAAGACGTTTGGTACGGCAATCCGGCAGCAAGTGGTAGTATGCCATGAAGTCGGAACCAATGATAGGAGTACTCACGTCGGCGACAATAAAACTCCACGGGAAACTGCGTCGAAGTCCTAAATTCAAATTGAGATGGACCGTCCCGTAAGTTTTTATGGTACTGTTGTTGGCCGCGCTGAGGTCGTAATCGGTGGCATGGCGTCGTTCCCGTAGTAGCCGTTGAGGGTAACAAGATAAGTCGGAACCGGAGTCGACTAAAAATTGGCGTTTTGTTATTTGATCTGTAACAAACAGGCGGCTGCTCGGGTTCGGACAGTCTGTTGCCGCCGCTACTGACTGTCGTTGGAGTTTTCCTGATACTTGCAGGGAGCCTTACATTTGGCAGCCTTTTCTCCATAAGTGCTATGATACCAACACCATCCTTTGCCGTTAGTCAGTTCCACGTTTGAACGGTTACGTGACCTAGAGCGGGAACGTTGCGGGCGTTTAGCACATAATTCGCTTACCTGTTTTGCGAGTGCTTCAATGGCGGCTAAAACATCGAGTTCCTTTTTATTGTTCGTCGTGGCAACAGCATGGACGAATTGCGAGGGGGCTGGCTGCACTTCAACAATTTTGTCAGCCAGCTCGGCTACCTTATCCAGAGGAAGCTCTGATTGTGCGGTTAAAATAGCTTGTGCATGTGATGGTAGACGGCGGAGCCAAAGTTGACGTAAAATATTGTCTTGTAATGTAGTAGTGGGAACGGAGATGTCGTAAGAACTGTGATGGCTTACGGTCACCTAGTTCTTCTTCATTGATGAGTTGCCGCACACGTTGTTCTTCTGAGATAGACAACCGTTCAACGAGTTTTGCGCGTAGATGTTTGTAGCGTTCAGTAGGCGGTGGGTTAGTAATAATATCCTCTACTTCGGCGGCGTAACGCGTATCAAGCTGAGCCACAACATAATTAAATTTTGTTTCCTCACTTGTTATTCCCGAGATTGCAAACTGCGAGTCAACCTGTGAGAACCATAAGCTCGGTCTTTCGGACCAGAAAGGTGGCAACTTGACGGCAACGCGATTCACTGAAGCTGTTGGATATTGCTGTGCCTGTAGTGCTGCAAGGCGAGCGTTTTCTTGGCGTAACTCCTCCAATTGATTGCGTAGTTCTTCGGCGTTCATACTTGTTATCGTCGAGGTCACCAATGTAGCGAGGTGTAATATATATAGAAGTAATAAACACTTTTATGATTTAATAACAACTATACTATATTACAACGAACTAACAAATAACAGCGAGAGACGAAGCGCGTTTAAGACAGAGTGCGTAAGTGATTGATTGATCGATTGATTGACTGGAGCGACGATCTTGCCCTTAAATAGTCAGAGGAATCTTCTAGAGGCGGCGGCGGCCGAACATTCTAGAACATTCGACCGCCACATAACTATATTATATATAATATAACATAAATAAGATTTAGGAAAAAAATTTAATTTCATTATAATCTTTGAAAGTTTTAATATTAGAGTTCTTACTTAGTTTATGTTAGGTCTAACATAACATTTTCTATAGTATTACATTTCTTTGAAGTTTAAAAGTTTAGTCCAATTATATTTTTGAGCTTGTTGCTTTAAATATTTTCTTTTATAACTTACAGTTTCTATTATTGAAATTATTATTAGATTTTGTAAATTTGAAAAAATAATTTCTAGTAGGTAATGTCACACTTGACTCATGCAATTAGTTTTAAGATAGAAATCGTCTAAATATTAATACAACTTACATTTGATTCTATGTTATTAATTAATTTGTCTATTGTAGACAAATTTTTTCTATGCAAAAACAAACTAACTTATTGTCAACTACAATGCTTTCGAACCACTAATGATGTAGGAGGGATAATTTCAACTTGCAGAAGAAAAAATACGGTCACTGATAAAAGAACAAAAATACTTAAGGTGTTCAAAAAAATGTGTATAGATATAATATTTCAATAAATATAGTTTAAAAAACTGAAAAACACGCTTTTAAATTATATTTATTTTTCACTTTTTAGTTTTTTATGACATCGCTGTCACAGTCACGCAGGGGCGTATTTATGGGGGGCTGATGAGGCTGCGTGGTGAGTTACAAACAATTTACAAATATACATGTGAAACTAATATAAGCGTGTTAAAAATCATTCTGATGTTTGATTTATACTAGATATTTTTTTTTAAAGTTACTCTCTTATTGCTGTCAGATGGAAGATAGAATCAAAATATGGTGAGGAATGATATTCCTATACAAGGCATAATCAAATTAACTGTATAAAATAACATTTTTCTACGCATAATTATATTGAAAGTAATATCTAATGTGGCACTGATCAATATAATTTTATTCTCTAAGAATTATTATATAAATGTATGTTGATAAGTACGAAAACGCAATAAATTTATTCACGCGAGTTAAAAGAAAATAACATATAATGTTATATTTAGTGCTTGTGACTTCATGCATTTAAAAAATTTTTTTGAACTACTTTTGAGACGACTAACTCTTTGAAATATTATCATTAGTGTATATAGTACCACAGAATTATTTTTGTTCTAATAGGAATGACGTCCCTTAAAACTTAATTTCTAATTAATATACACGATTTAGTGTTAAAAAAAAAAACTAACATGTGCATCTATTTATCAATAATGTATTCAGGATTATACAGAATGTTCAGTAAAGAAATGAGTTTCTATTGCTTTCATTGTTTATAAAATTTACCTGTTTCCTAACTTACTGAACACTCTGTATAATGTTAGTAATTGAAGAAATAATTGTTCTTTGATTCTTAATTAATTTGTAAAGAAAACAATTTCATCTGTTTATTTTATATAAGGTAAGTCGTTATAATTAAATAAAAAAAACGGTAGCACAGTGGGGTCGCGGCACAGTATGGACGTGGCATAGTTGGGACAAGTATAGATATCTCACAGTGATTAAAATCACTATCATTAGAAACGCTTCGATGCAAATCTTTAGATAGTGTTTAATTTTAAGAAATTGGTAGATTATTTCAAAAGTATATTACATAAGCTTTAATTTAAGATATATTTAAAAGTGTCAGTATTTTCTGAAGTTAAGTTGAAAAAGTTCTACTTTCCATACGCATTTTTAAAGGTTTGAACCATCCCAGTATAAAGGGAAATGGTCCTATTTAAAAAAAGTGTGTCGGATGAAAAAGGTATAAAAATATAAAAATAAAAATAATAATATTGATCCATACATTTTTCTAAAAGTTATAGCAATATAGATTTAAAAATATAAAATCGAGAATTTTTTTACGGAAATCGTACGTTTTTCTTTAACTTAGGTGTCCGTTTTCACCATGAAGACAAATCCAGAGTTCAAATTTTTTTTTTCAAATTAAAGTATATTACATAAGTTTTAATTTAAGGTATATATATAAAAGTGTCAGTTTTTCAGGAACATTTTTAAGTTAATATTTTGAGAAAATGTTGCCATTTTGAAACCCTTTCCTGTGGGCTGGTAAGGGGTTATAATGAATCCTGTGCTTTTAGATATTTATTTCCTTGTGAAATAATGAGAAAAATAAAAAAAGGTTACCTAATTAAAAGTTGACTCTACTGTAAGTTATAAGGGATAAACATAAAAAATATTTTATAACAGATAAACGGAGATACATATTTAACTAACAAAAGCAAAAAAATCAAACTATTATTTTATGAGAAATTGAATGGCTAACGTTAAAAGAATCACTCAATATAATCATAGTGAAAATAAATGGGTGAATCACTCTACATTATCATAGGCTGTGATTACATGTATATCACAATAAAATAGCTATTTAAATAATTACATTAGGTTAACAATGAGAGTGAATAAAAGTTGGTCACTAACACATAAGTTATACAGATATTATATTAATTCAAATAGTTCGGTACCCTTGAGCAATTTTGTCATCTTTCGTGCATCTTTATTATTAAAGTTTTTAATTAAAAACCCAGCACAGGGGGGTCGCGGCACAGTGGTGACGTGGCATAGTTGGATCAAGTATTATGATATCTGACAGTGAT